ACACAGAATCAGCAGCATGCATGTCATGACTGTTGGGTCTGTTGAATTTCTATTACTCTACTACACCTGCTAGTAAATTATTTGCCATGTAGAAATATCCTTTCTACCAAAAACAGTGATTGATCCGGTTAGTGATGTCTGACTGCTATTATTTTGAACACAACTGTATATATTGTACATTCACATCAGTCCCTAACCCTCAATAAGTGTACAATCTAAAGTCCCTAACTTACATTCACATACTAGGGCCAATTTAGACAGGAGCCAATTAACCTACTAGCATGTCTTTGAGGGTGGGAGGAAACAGGAGTACCTGGAGGAAACTCACACGGGCACAGGGAGAACATGCAAACTCCAGGCAGGTGGTGCTGTGGTTGGGATTTGATCTAATGACCCTAGTACTGCCAGACGGAAGTGCTAACCATTTAGCCACTGTGCTGCCCGTCTGTGTGTCTGCCAATATGTATTGACATAATCACTACACCTAGCATTGTATCACAGCCAAGTTTAGGCTGCCCATTGCCTGCGATGAGTTTGGCTGTTACAGAAGGCTCAGCTGATTATCTGCATACAAACTATTCCAGAAATATCCAGAGATACAAGAACTCATTATGCAAAAGCCCAAGCTGCCAGATAAACAGTAGGGGCTGTATTTCATATGATATAAATGAATAGCGGTGGTTAGCCAGTGTTTGCCGAAATCAATGAGAACCAACAAAGCCGTGTCAGATTGGTCTATTTGTTTTCCTTTTGTACCTCGAGTCAAAATGTTTTTTACAGAGAATGAAAAGTGTTTATGACTGTACTTAGCAGGAGCCGTCACAGGGCACTGTGACCTCGCTGTCTTGGCTGGGATGATGTTATTACATCACGCTCCTCATGAGGACCAGAGACACGGAGACTAGAAAAATCAGACTAGCAAAGTGGGCTGTACTGCCTGAATATGTACGCCAGCTGTTGCATGAGCTGGGATTGGCCACTCTTTGTGTTGTAAAGCAGACCTGTCACCGATAATGAGAACAACATGCAGAGGCTGATATAAGCTCAGTAATAAAGCAGAAGAGCTATTGAAAGAGTTCAATACAGCAGCTTAAAGCTCAACTCCGGCCAACTTTTTTTCTTTTGGGATAGAATAGGTAAGGGTCAGAAATCCCTCTTTATTTTATTACTGTAGGTGGCCCCCCTTAGGGGGATTTCCCCCCACTTACTGTCACAGTGAACACACAGGATGTGAAGGAAATCATACAAATGGGAATATAGGTTGCAGCAAAAACCTAACAAGAAAATGCTAATCTAAAAATGTTACTAAACCCACAACAGTAAAATCAGTCTGTATATGCCATAAAGCATGCTTGTTATACACTCTGTGGAACCTAAGGGGTTAATCCTACGTACTGTGTAAAAAGGCTGTTTGATCCTGACTTCTCTGATCCGCCCCTTCTTCTACTGTCCCCAATTCATCTGCTAATTATTATTATTATTATACAGTATTTATATAGCGCCAGAAGGTTTGCTCAGCGCTGTACATTATAGTGGGGGACAGTACATGAGACAATACAGTAACAATACAATACACGAGGGGGTCAAGGGCCCTGCTCTTTCGAGGTTACAATCTAGGAGCGAGGGGGTAGTGGTACAGGAGGAAGTGGCTGTGGGGGATGAAGTTTGTAGGAGGGTTGGAGGAGATCGGCTGTTAAGTGAGGGTGGGGTAGGCTTCCCTGAAGAGATGGGTGTGCCTAAAGGTGAGGAGGGTTGACAGTCTGATGGATTGGGGTAGTGAGTTCCAGAGGATGGGGGAAGTCCTAGAGAAGTCCTGCAGTTGGGCGTGGGAGGAGACCAGGGAGCTAGAGAGTAGGAGGTCTTGTGAGGAGCGAAGAGTACGGGTTGGGTGGTATTTGGGTATCAGGTCGGTGAGAGGTAGTTTGGGGCAGTGTTTTGAATGGCTTTGTATGTCAGTGTTAGTATTTTGAAATTTAATGCGTTGTGCAATCGGGAGCCAGTGGAGGGATTGACAGAGGGGGGTGGCAGAAGTGGAGTTCTGGATAGACTGAAGCGGGGATAGCCTGTGTTGGGGTAGGCCGGTGAGAAGGGAGTTGCAGTAGTCCAGATGTGAGATAATGAGGGAGTGAACGAGTTGTTTAGTAGTGTCAGGGGTTAGGAACATACGTATTTTGGAGATGTTGCGGAGGTGGAGCCTGCATGAGTTTGCCAACGATTGGACATGGGGTTGGAAGGACAGGTTTGAGTCTAGAGTAACACCTAGGACTTTGGCTTGTGGGACTGATGATGGTGGAATTGTTGGTTGTGATGGAGAGGATGAGGGGGGCGCGGGCTGGGGGGAAAACTAGGAGCTCGGTTTTGGAAAGGTTCAATTTGAGGAAATGGAGCGACATCCAGTCTGATATGTTTCAGTAGGTGAGTGATACGGGCGGAGACTGAAGGGGTGAGGTGAGGGGTGGAGAGGTAAATTTGCATGTCAAACAGAGCCCTAGGAGGCACTCTACACATGCCTAGTTTGGTGTGTATTTCTAGAGAGTTTTTCTTGGGGAGGGAGGGTGCATGTGATCAGCACAGGGCCAATCAGCACTATCCAGACAGGGGGGTGAGGGGTCAGGCAGCCTCATAGGACTGTCAGTGGAGAATGAAAACTCCCCCTACAAGATTAACCAGGACACTGATAGAAGTTACAAGACTGCACTATATACTTCTTATGAGAAAAGGTATTTAGCAGTTTATATTTACTAAAATAATTGCATTTCCACGTTCTGTGTACTGTGGGAGACCAGATATAGTGAATGCAGGGTCCTGGGTTTACTAACACTTTAAATTTATCTTGAGGTATTTTTTTTTCTTTCATTTTTTTTAAGATAGAATGGGCAGGGGTTAGACCTTCTGTCAGCTTTTTATGCTGTCTGAATTCCCACTGGGGAGATTAACCACTCTATTTATATTGGTGACTGTTGTCACCAAGAAAGTGAGGGTAAATTCGAAATATTAGAGTTGCCTCAAGAGCAAGAGGTGAGGGGAAACCTTCCAATGGGGACAACTGTCTAAGAGGAGAATTTCATTTCACTTTAGGAGATTTTCACTGACTTCTTGTTACATGTCTGGGACAGGGAGTGAAGATACATTTTCCCAGGCAGGAAAAAAAAATAATCCGGCAGAGGTTTCAACCCTTCCCTCAGTCAACTCCATTGATGTCATCAAAGCTAGACAGCTTTATTGATGGACAGCAAACAATACATTCTTCCACCCTATGTCCACCTCGCCAATGCCTTTTACCCATCCAGGCTTAGAACTCGAACTGTGAATCACCCAGCTGTCTAGCTTTAATGATGCCATTGGAATGTGGCCCCTTTTCTTCGATGAGGGTGTGTATTGTGTGGAGCTTGAAAGAGTTCCTTGGGCTTCAGCACCTGGCTGCGTGAAGAGCTGGGGAACAATTGGGCAGCCTGATGCGGTGAGGTTTTCATTGCCTTCTAAAATTAGTTTTGACTATATATACAATTTAGCCCAAATAAATTCAGCGCTTAGGCCTATGGTTCAGACTAGTGGGACTTTTGATGCAACTTGAGTCGCACCGAATCACATGACAACGGAAATCTCATTGTTTTCTTTTCCAATATTTTTTATTGAAAGTTTAAAAAAAAATGAAATCTCATTGTTTTCAGTGGTGCCCATTCTAATCAGCATGACTCAGAATGGTGCAATGTTGGAAAAGGTTCCTGCCCTACTTTGGTGCAATTTACATTGCAGCTTGGCTCCATAGAATATGCAAAGTTACATCAAAGTCATACCACGTAATCGCACTGTAAATCGAATCAAGGTCGCATCACATTGGTGTGACCCAAGCCTTGAATGGTACCTTTTAAACATTTAAAAGTAAAAGGTTAGCCTGAAAGCAGATACCAGAAAGTTACCTGTTCTACCTTATTTCCCAGAAACCCTCCTTTGTGTGTCTCTATGAAATTGGGTTCACTGTCTTACTGGTAGGTTGACTTTTGTAAAGCCTCATCAACTGCTACTCTCATTTAAATTATAGTGCCTTAGTGGCCAATAAGGGCACAACCATTGGACAGAAGAAGGGCTGATGGGGTTCTTTTGTCCTGAAGATTGGCCTCAGTAACAACACGGAAGTAGTTTTAAGGGCTCTTTCACACAGTCATTGCATTCTAAAGCAGTTTTTAAAGCACATTAACGCACTTATTATTTTTATTACTATACAGTATTTTATATAGCGCCAAAAAGTTTGCTCAGCGCTGTACATTATAGTGGGGGACAGTACATGAGACAAGACAGAAACAATACAATACACGAGGGGTTCGAGGGCCCTGCTCCTTGGCGCTTACAATCTAGGAGGGAGGGGATAGTGGTACAGGAGGAAATTTCTGTGGGGGATGGAGTGGAGGAGATCGGCTGTTAGGTGAGGGTGGGGTAGGCTTCCCTGAAGAGATGGGTTTTCAGGGTGCGCCTAAAGGTGAGGAGGGTAGATGACAGTCTGATGAATTGGGGTAGTGAGTCCCAGAGGATGGGGGAAGACCTGGAGAAGTCCTGGAGTCGGGCATGGGAGGAGGAGACCGGGGAACTGGAGAGAAGGAGGTCTTGTGAGGAGCGAAGAGTATGTGTTGGGTGGTATTTGGATATCAGGTCGGTGAGGTAGTTTGGGGCACTTATAGCATTAATGAACATATTGGATGTGTTGTACAGGCATTCATGTTGCTTCAAGCAACGTTCCTCAAACACCCCGTGAGATGTGTTTTTTTTTTTTTTTACAAGGCTAAAATGGGATATGATCGTTTTTGGTTGTTTACAATTACACCTTAAAGGCACTGTAAATGTCATAGGCGCATTTACAGTGCGTTTGTGGTGCACTTATGGTGTGTTTTAACCGCTTGGCCACCGCCCTATAGCAGAAATACTGCTACATCATATATGATTTTGCATTTCCGGTAGGCCACCATTGGTGGCTTCAGCTGTTGGTCACCGGGTCCCGTCCAGTGATTCCCTGCCGGCACCTGACGATTGCCGAGTATCACTGACAGGGGAGAGGTCTGTATGTAAACAATATAGATCTCTCCCCTGTCAGCTCCAGCACGCTGCTTTGTATTGCTCTGCATAAAGTGAAGCACACACACACACACAGTAAAAAGCACACAGTAAAACAGCACACAGTTACCCTTTGATTGCCCCAGATGTTAACCCCTTCCTGCCCAGTGTGATTATTTCAGTGTCATTGCTTTTTATTAACACCCTTATCACTGTATTAGAGTCACTGGGGATGTCAAAATTGGGCCCAAAGTGTCAATATTTTATGTGGCCACCATTATTTTCCAGCACTGCCTTAACCCTCTTGGGCATGGAGTTCGCCAGAGCTTCACAGGTTGCCACTGGAGTCCTCTTCCACTCCTCCATGATGACATCACGGAGCTGATGAATGTTAGAGACCTTGCACTCCTCCACATTCCATTTGAGGATGCCCCACAGATTCTCAATAGGGTTTAGGTCTGGAGACATGCTTAACCAGTCCATCACCTTTACCTTCAACTTCTTTAACAAGTGGTCATCTTGGAGGTGTGTTTGGGGTCGTTATCATGTTGGAGTACTGCCCTGCGGCCCAGTCTCCGAAGGGAGGGGATCATGCTCTGCTTCAGTATATCACATGTTGGCATTCATGGTTCCCTCAATGAACTGTTGCTCCCCAGTGCCGGCAGCACTCATGCAGCCCCAGACCATGACACTCCCACCACCATTCTTGACTGTATGCAAGACACACTTGTCTTTGTACTCCTCACCTGGTTGCCACCACACACGCTTGACACCATCTGAACCATATAAGTTTATCTTGGTCTCATCAGACCACAGGACATGGTTCCAGTAATCCATGTCCTTGGTCTGCTTGTATTCAGCAAACTCTTTGCAGGTTTTCTTGTGCATCATCTTTAGAAGAGGCTTCCTTCTGGTACGACAGCCATACAGACAAACTTGATGCAGTGTGCGGCGTATTGTCTGAGCACTAACAGGCTGAGCCCCCACCCCTTCAACCTCTGCAGCAATGCTGGTAGCACTCATAGGTCTATTTCCCAACAACAACCTCTGGATATGATGCTGAGCACGTGCACTCAATTTCTTTGGTTGACCATGGCGAGGCCTGTTCTGAGTGGAACCTGTCTTGTTAAACTGCTGTATGGTCTTGGCCACCGTGCTGCAGCTCAGTTTCAGGGTCTTGGCAATCTTTTTATAACCTAGGCCATCTTTATGTTGAGCAGCAATTCTTTTTTTCAGATCCTCAGAGAGTTCTTTGCCGTGAAGTGCCATGTTGAACTTCCAGTGACCAGTATGAGAGAGGGAGAGCGATAACACCAAATATAACACACTTGCTCCCCATTCACACCTGAGACCTTGTAACACTAACGAGTCACATGACACCGGGGAGGGAAAATGGCTAATTGGGCCCAATTTGGACATTGTCACTTAGGGGTGCACTCACTTTTAGACATTAATGGCTTCAGTTAATTTGATGGGACAGCAAATTTACACTATTATACATCTGTATACTCACAACTTTACATTGTAGCAAAGTGTCATTTCTTCAGTGTTGTCACAAGAAAATATATAATATATTTACAAACATGTGAGGGGTGTACTCACTTCTGTGAGATACTGTGTGTATATATAAATATATATATATATATATATATATATATATATACACACACACAGACTGTCCATAATTTTAAAAGGGCACCCCATTCTAAAATGTGAAACAAATATTCTAATACTTTTATATAATGCAACAACATCCACACATGTAGGACTCCCAACATTAGAGGTGATTTATTTTTCCGAAGCAAATACACTTTTGCACATTGCTACTGACTAGTATTTTAGTGTTTCTCTTCTCCCTGAGCTTTCTCCATCACTGAGCTAATGTGACCCCAGCACTGATGGAGAGGAGCAAGGCAGGGTCAAACTTTGATGCTGTGCTAGCAACCAACATCCTCCTTATCAACTGATGATGTCATTGGTTGTCAGGACATGGGTGGCTAGAAGCTGGTAATGGTGCACAATGGCTTTGTTGTAACTAAACGGCAGGCTTGTTCCACCCTCTGACTTGTATACAAGTTTTGGGCAGTTTTTAGACATTTTTCCAAGGTAACCCTGAAGAAACTGCAAGTCACCCCAGGGCGCCTGGGCACCCTGGTTGAGAAAGGCTGCCCTAGACAGTTAAAGAAGTCTCACTTCAATTTTATTAATATTTTTAATAGTGTTGTCTCTTCATGGCAGTCCAAACACACAGCTAGCAAGGAGACGATTGCTTTGACAGATGGCACTGTACTGTATCTACTCTGTGGGCAAATACTTGGGGATGGAAAAAAGTGTCATCTGTCAAAGCAGTTGTCTCCTTGCTTGCTGCATTGTTGGATGGCCATGGAGGGAGAAATGCAGTATCCATCGTCACAACTAGCCTTACATTGCACCTGTGAAGATGGGACAAATTACTACATGTACTGTGTCATCTGGGGAACAGAACACAATAAGAAAAATGGAAGTGAGACTTCTTTAATTCTGTTTTTTTATTTATTTATTGTTTGCAAGTTAATAAAGCTCTCATTGAGTTTTTATTTTCAAAATTCTTTTCTTTGTTTAGCAAAAAGTACCATATTTTCACACCATAAGATGTACTTCCCCCCCCCCCCCCCCAAAAAAAATGGGGGAAAATGTTTGTGCACCATATGGAGCGGCCAGCCCAGTATTCCTCCCGTCGCTGTTGCCGTGTTAGAATACCGCTCGGCTCTTATGTGCAGCAGAACCTGTAGACCTCCAGCGGTCCTACCTGTTCCTCGGTCCAGCAGTGTCCTCGCTTTCTTCTCTCCCCGGCGCCAGCATCTTTAGTGTGGGCACCCGGCTGTGACAGCTTGCGGCTTCACGACCACATGCCCTCTGCAAATGCGCGAGAAGCGCTGCACTTTGTGAATGGCCCTGTAGTCTTCTGGGACCTGTCACGTGTCCCAGAAGACTACGGGGAGGGGGAAGGGCAGCTTCAAGGAAGTGGGAGCGGGTACTTGTCAAATTCGGGTACCCACCTCCCCCCCCCCCCCACTCCCCAGAGGTCTGCAGTCTCTGTTCATCTCCTGTACTATGTCCACAGTCTCTGGTCATCTTCTGTACTATGTCCGCAGTCTCTGGTCATCTTCTGTACTATGCCCGCAGTCTCTGGTCATCTCCTGTAATATGTCCGCAGTCTCTGGTCATCTCCTTTAGTATGTCCGCAAGCACTGGTGATCTCCTGTAGTATGTCCGCAGTCTCTGGTCATTTCCTGTACTATGTCTGCAGTCTCTGGTCATCTCCTGTACTGTGTCCGCAGTCTCTGGTCATCTCCTGTACTATGTCTGCAGTCTCTGGTCATCTCCTGTACTGTGTCCGCAGTCTCTGGTCATCTCCTGTACTATGTCCACAGTCTCTGGTCATCTCCTTTAGTATGTCTGCAGTCTCTGGTCATCTCCTTTACTATGTCTGCAGTCTCTGGTCATCTCCTGTACTATGTCCGCAGTCTCTGGTCATCTCCTGTACTATGTCCGCAGTCTCTGGTCATCTCCTGTACTATGTCCTGCAGTCTCTGGTCATCTCCTGTACTATGTCCGCAGTCTCTGGTCATCTCCTGTACTATGTCTGCAGTCTCTGGTCATCTCTTGTACTGTGTCCGCAGTCTCTGGTCATCTCCTGTACTATGTCCGCAGTTTGCATCTCTGTACTATGTTTGCAGTCTCTGGTCTTCTCCTGTACTATGTCCGCAGTCTCTGGTCATCTCCTGTACTATGTCCTCAGTTTCTGGTAATCTTCTGTACTATGTCTGCAGTCTCTGGTCATCTCCTGTACTATGTCTGCAGTCTCTGGTCATTTCTTGTACTATGTCTGCAGTCTCTGGTCATTTCCTGTACTACAGTATGTCTGCAGTCTCTCTGGTCATTTCCTGCACTATGTCTGCAGTCCATTGGTTCAGAATATTTGTTTTCTTGTTTTCCTCCTCTAAAACCTAGGTGCGTCTTATGGAGCAAAAAAATACAGTAAATTACCCAGTGGTGATTAAATACCACCAAAAAAAGTTATATTTGTGTTATAAAACATGCTAAAAATGTAGTTTGGGTACAGTGTTGCATAACCGCGCAATCGTCATTCAAAGTGCGACAGTGCTGAAAGGTGACAAATGGCCTGGGCTAGAAGGGGGTGAAAGTGCCCGGTATTGAATCAGTTAAATAATACAACTACTTTTAAACACATTAGCTATTTAATATATCTAGGGATATTAAGATTTAAAATATCTAGGGACATTAAAGCAGGGCTGCACTCAAAACTTAAAAAAAAGTCAGCAACTACAAAAATCTGTAGCTGCTGAACTTTTAAAAACAGCCACTCACCAGTACCTGCTCAGTGCAGCCAGTTTCACTGGCCGTCCTTTCTCCCTGGTGCCGGTATCCTAATGCAGGCCATACATGGTTTGAATTCCGAACGATTTTCATCCAAAAATCGGACCTAAGAATAATCAGACGATTTTCGCTCTGTTAGTGAGGCAATGGGATATATAATAGGTGCAGCGCTAAATTACTGTCAATTACAAAAAAAACAACAAGACAATTCAATGTCCATAAAGGTGACAAAGTGGAGATCCAGGTAAGTATAATCTCAAATTTAGTTTCACGTGCTAAAAATCAATATTCGGTGATGTGTCAGGAATGTGGTAAGATTACACACTCACCAGATGCGTAATAATAATACGCATGTATAAGTAATGTGGTCAGCCGGAGGTACCTTTAAGGATGCACACAGCCTAGTCTGGAATCCCCTTCCTCTGGGTCATCTGCAGTACCTCAGCCGTCCTCCGTGATTGGCTCTGTGGGTTTGTTAGCACATAAAGAGCCAATGAAAAGGATGCCCATAGTGTAGTAATTCTTAAAATATATTTATTCAATCCATCCATAGAGTAAAAGCAAGGTTTAAGCACAAGCAAATGCACTGACCATACAAATCCAAGATGGCCGCTGAACCTGCTTGAGGTCTCGGCGGCATGACATCATGGCGTACAGCTCCTCCTTGACGCGTTTCGTGCCAACACACTTAGTCATAAGGGGTTTGCTTGTACTGCCGGACGTCTGACAAGTCTATTTATAGCAAAAACGGTGCATGCGCATATCGGACAGTATGGCCAAAAAAAGGGAAATAATCGAATATATAATATACTGAATTGCATGGTATATAACCAACCGGAAATGGGGCAATGGCATCGGCCGATTTTTGTGGTTCCTCCCCATTTCGTTTATCGGTCATGCTGGAAAATTTATGAAAAACGACCGATTTTCAAAATCATTTATGGCACCATCGGATTACAGAACGAATGATGTTTCGATTTTCGGACAAAAATTCGTTCGGAATTCGAACCATGTATGCCCTGCATAAGTGTGGGCACCTGGGTGCCCGCTGCGCATGGCCGAGTAGTTCTAAGCCTTGTGAATGGTCGTGTAGTTTTCTGGAACCTGTCACATGTCTCAGAAGACTACGGGGAGGGAGGGGGACAACCTCTGCTTCCATTTGCTTAGGTGATCACCGCAGAAGTGGGAGCGGGTGCATGTAAAAATCGGGTACCCACCAGTTCCTTTAGGAGGAGCGGGGGACCAATACGTAAAGCAGAACTGCCCTTTTTAGGTGGATCCTCTGCTTTGAGCTACTTTGCAAATATAGGGGTAGGTTTACTAAAACTTTAAAGTGTAAAATCTGGTGCAGCTCTGCATAGAAACTAATGAACAAGCTCCGAGTTAGAAGCCGATTGGCTACCATGCAGAGCTGCAGCAGATTGTGCACTCTCCAGTTTTAGTAAATCAGCCCCATAGTCTCTTACCTCCACCTGTTTCTGCTGCGTTTTGAGCGCCATCGTTCTAACCCCCGATCATTGTAAACATGGCCTTGTTTACAGTCATCCTGTCTGCATTGTGTATTATAAAGGTTCTTGAGCAAGATACTTGCAGACTAGACCTAAGAACATGGAAGACATCAGGGATTAGCACAATATATGTATTTTTTTGCTGTTGTTAGTAGCGCTGAGCAAGCTGTTGGCGCTATATAAATCCTGTATAATAATTATTGCTCCTTCTCTCTAGTTCCTTGGTCTCCTCATCCCATGCCCGCCTGTATAATAATAATAATTGCTGTCACAGTAAAATGATCTTTTGTTCTGTTTTATAGGTCGAAAGTTCAAAAAGCTTAACAGACTAAAACCTGGAATGGAGCTTGACAGGATTGTGCTACAGCAGTCCACCTCCAGCCCAGTAGAATTGGCGAGGAGAATATCTACCGGTTACGGCACAAGAGGTTCAGTACTTTCCAGAACTGTTGCAGATTCTACAGAGTATAGAGCCCGAAGTGGTGTACGCTGGATATGACAACACTAAGCCGGAAACCCCCAGTGCTTTGCTGTGTAGCCTCAACCAGTTATGTGAGCGACAACTCCTCTGTGTCGTGAAATGGTCCAAATCACTACCAGGTAATGTGATTATTGGTGTCATTTTTATATTTCCTTAGATGTAAAACTTAAATTGGTTGTAAATCTCAGACATGAACAATGAATAAAGCATATCCCTCTATAGTGCACACTTGTTTGGATATCAATGCAGAGCACTAAGTGTCATTTCTGTCTGCTGCTTCATTCCTCTGCTATCAACATAAATCACTTCTGACAAGTTTTCCTGACTCCTAGAGGAAAATGGTGGCAGGGGAGGGACCTCCAGCAGGTTGACAGCCTCTGCTCTGTTCCTGTGTGAAGGGGGTGTGCCCCTTTCCCTCCAATCAGCTGTCAGAGCTCTCCTCACTGAGCTCTGCAGTGCGTAATTTCAGCTCTTCGACCCCCCTTTTTCTGAACTCAGACAAGCTTTAAAAATTCAGCACTTTGAAGGGATGTAGAGAAGAGAATACTGTAGGTAAACAGATACAACGTATGTAGGAGTGTTTGTTTCATCTCTGTAGATCACCTGAGGCCAGTCACTTTAAACCACTTAAAAAGAAAAAGGTTTTCTGCTTTTGGCCCAAGACAGATGATTCAAATGAATCTTGAATAGTAAACATATCTTTAAAAAAAAACAGAGTTTTATATAAAAGCCCAACCTAACAATAGGCTCCAGAAAAGTCTCCTGTGTGCGTCTCTGAAACTTTGGTGTAAGGGGGCTGACTTCTGAGCTGAGTGCAAGCAACTGCCATCCCCTGCCTAGTTAGAATTCACTTAGTTCTTAGGCAGGATTTATAAACTTTAGGCTGACCGGTTCACTTCAAGATCTGTTCTGCTGCTCTAGGCATCCGTACAGTTCTCCTGTGGAATCTGGTTAGCCTGTGGAAGAGGTAAAGTGCATTGCTGTCTTGGGTAAAATTCGGTAACCAGGGCTCAAAATTTCAAGTCCTGAGCTACTAGTCAGTAAGAGTTACTCACCACCAATTGCCCCACCCAACCCATACCCTGACCTGCCCCTAATTCCACCCCAAAACATGCCCTTGTAAATTCTCATGAAATGACACTGTTAGATGTTTTATGCAGAATAAAGGTACAAAAAATCACTTTAACAATATTAACTGCTTCAGCTCAGACCCATAACAGAAATACTGCTACAGAGCAGCAGCTGTGCGCAAAATCATGTATATATAGACGTGTTTTTTTTTTTTTTGCATTCCCGGGTAGGGGGCGTGTGCACCCTACCCGGGCCGCAATTGCCGCGGCTGTAAATCACTAGGTCCCGTCCGTTGATTACTCACCTGCACCCCGGTGATTGCTGATATTCAAACGGGGGGGAGAACTGTTAGTAAACAAAACAGTTCTCCTCCCTGTCAGCTCCTGCACAAATTTACATGAAGCACAAACACAAGATCATAATGTAAAATGACACACAGTTAACCCTTTGATCGCCCCACATGTTAACCCCTTCATGCCCAGTGCTATTAGTACAGTGTCAGTGCTTTTTATTAGCACTGATCACTGTATTGGTGTCACTGGGGATGTCAGTGACACCAAGTCAGTTCCCCCCTGGTGTCAGAATGCCCACCTCAGTCCCGCTTGTAAGTCGCTGATAGCCGCGATTAGTAGTAAAATAAACAAAAAAAAAATTATAATACCGGCCATTTGTAAACGCTATAACAGTCACGTGAACCAATTAATTTACACATATTGGAGTTTTTTTTAGCAAAGACATGTAGCAGAATACATTTTGGCCTAATATATAGGGACGAAATTAGATTTTTTTTTATTTTTGTACTGGACATGTTTAATAGCAAAAAGTAAAAAATATTTATTTTTTTCTCAAAATGGTTGGTCTTTTTTTTTTAATAGCGAAAAAAATAAAAAATGCACAGGTATCAAATACCACCAAAAGAAAGTTCTATTCATGGAAAAAAAAAGGACAGAAATTTCATTCGGGTGTAGCATTGCATGACCACACATTATCAGTTAAAATAACGCAGCGCCGCAACGCAAAAACTGGCCTGGTGAGGAAGGGGGGTAAATCCTCTGGAGGGCAAGTGGTTAACAAAAAGCAATGTAAACATAAAAGGAAAATAAGTGCTTTACATCAATAGGGAAACAAAATAACACACACAGTGCAGAGGTCAGCGGTGCCGCATAGTGCAGGGAGAGGGGCACGGACTGTAGGAAGGAAGGAGGGGAGGGAGGAAGGGGGAGAGGAAAGAAGGAGGGAGGGAGGGGAGCAGAGGAAGAAGGGTAGGGAGGGAGGGAAGGAAGGAAAGAAGGGATATATGGAAGGGGAGGGACGGAAGGAAGTGAGGGGGAGCAGGAAGGAAGGGAGGGAGCAAAGGAAGGAAGGGAGGGAGGGAAGGAAGGTAAAGGATGGGAGGAAGGCAAATTAGGGGAGGCAGGAAGGGAGGGGGGGGAAGGAAGGTAGGGAGGGGAGGAAGCGAGGGGGGAATGGAGGGAGGGAAGGAAGGAGGGAAGGAAGGAAGAAACTCACATGGCTCAGTTAGAAGCATCACAGGGCTGTATACTATTTCCCGCCCAAACATCCTCTTCTAAGAAGCTGCAAGGGCTGGAGTGTGGGTGGGCACAGGGGGAAGCAGAGCAGATCCAGCCTCTCTGCTCTCCTATTGGTGCGGACGATGGGGCAGAGCACTGAGGAGCACAGGGGGGGGGGGGGGGGGTGCAGAAAGAAAAGGAAATCCGATGGAGGGTCAAGGATGATTGGTGCAGCAGTGGGGCAGTTACAAGCACCAATCTGCCTGTATTTCAATGAAGCAACTGGAAACCGCTTCACCTCCTCTCCCTCCTGCGTCTTTCAGCTTCTTCATTGAAAGCCATACAGGGGAGATTGGTGCTTGTAATTGCCCCCACTGCCACCTCCCCCACCCACCCATAGTCCTGGCTCTGCTTGCTCCCACGTAATTTCCACTTGCCAAATGCAAATGCAAATTTTGAGGGCTGTCTTAACCTATGCATGCAGCACACATTTAGATTGATTTTGTGCTGCGTAAGAACTTATGTGCAGAACTACTTTTCTCTCTCTATAAGTAAATGGGAAGCCAAAAGCTTGAGAAAAGAGATAAATACAGGTCAGAGGGAGGTCAAATGTCAGGTCAGGAATAGGTCAAATGCAGATCAGAAGAAGGTCTATTGGGAGGTCATAAGGCAGCCAAATAGCAGGTCAGAAGGAGGTCAAATGCAGGTCAAAAGCACATGTGAGGGCACTTAGATGGAAACGCCTCAAACCAATCTTAAATGAAGACTGAATACACCTAAAGAACGACTGTATTTGCCCATCTAGAGTTCCCAATTTCACCCACTCCCTCCTGGGTCCTTAGAAAAATATGGAGAATCCATCACAGGATAGGTGACACCATTGCTCAGAATAAAACTAGGTTAGTTATGTCCCAGAACCAAGATCTTGGGTCCCTCGATCCTTCTATAGGTTCCTCTAATATATTACAAATCTGGTGTGAACTAATTTACCTCCATGCAAGTCAAAATGGAAACAAAATCAGTTTTCTGGAGCTTAAAAGGAGATCAAATGTCAAATCAGGAGGAGATCAAATGTCTGGTCAGGAGGAGGTCAAATGGAGGTCAGAAGCAGCCATGAAGGCACTCAGATGGAACTCATAAAAGCATTCTCAAACTGATCATAAATGAAGGTTCAAATGCACCTAAAGTGACATTGCCTTTGGCTATCTGCAGTACACAGTGTCACCCACTCCTTCCTGGGTCCTCAGGAATATATGGAGAATCCATCATAGGCCAGTTGACACCATTAGAACAGGGGGTGTCAAACTCAATTTCATTTCATTCAGCTGCATCAACTCTATGGTTGCCCTCAAAGGGCCAGTTGCATCTGTAAGACTGTATAAATGTATCTACTCTTTATCATAATAAATAATTGCCTCTGAATTCGATTATTACTGATTTCAGTAATAACTGAAGACTTCAGCTGTGAAGGGCAGGTGCAGACTGGCACGGAGTCCCCTCACACTCCTGTAGCAGATGAAGTCTGAAAAGGAGAGTTGCACACCACTGGTAATATCCACGAGAAACTTTATTGGAGGTTGCTCACACAGAACATGGTTCTGCCTTGGTTAGCATGTTCTGAGCAGTTTACATCAAAATTTCATGTGGATGATATCATCAGTGTGCGACCCTCCTTTTCAACTGGCATAGAATTGTATTATATTCATAATATTTGTAAACAGATGTTTAGAGCCGCCCACCCCCACAAGCCAAGAGTCCCCCCACCCTGCCTTACACCACAGTGCACCCCCCTTACCTTGTGCTGCTTGGGGGAGGAGCTGCAGGAGAGGTGCGAGGGCCACATGAAATTGCCTGGAGGGCCACATTCGGCCTGCTGCGGGCCTTGTGTTTGACACATGTGGCTTTGAAAGAAGCTAAGTTTGTTATGTCCCACTAAAAAAATCTTGGGTCCATTGAACCCTCTATAGGTTCCTCAGATTTATTAGAAAGCTTGTAAGAACCACTTTTCTTTCCATACAAGTCAAAGGGAAAGCAAAAGCAGCTTTATGCCACTTAGATGGAGATCAAATGGCAACTCAGAAGGAGATCAATTGGTGGGTCAAGAAGTGGTGAAATGAAGGTCAGGATTAAGTCAAGTGCAACTTAGAAACTACTGGAAGCATTTCAACTTGAAAAAATCTCCCTTGCAGTGGAGCTGTGCCCTCACTGCAAGCATTAACTGCTTGTTAAGGTCTAGGGGGCACGGAAAAGTAGATTTACTTACTCAATCCTTCACTGCTGTACACTGCTAGACCGGTCCCGGCATCATGTTCTTCCCCCATGCTCTAGTGGCCTAGGAACCTGGCATCATCAAGACCATCCCTGCATTGGACGTGAGGAAAACCGAGGGACAGTTTACGGCCAGAGCACGGGGGAGTGCTGCCTGCTGGGAGGACAGGAGGATGAAGTAAATAAAACTGCTTTTACTCTCCACTAGACTAAATATTTAATCCTCGGCATGGTCACGGCTTCACTGCAAGTAAAAGTCTCCTGGAGTTGGGCTTTATATGAAGGCCGATTGCACCTAAATGAACACCGCATTTCCCCATCTATAGTACACAGTGTCACCCACTCCCTCCTGAGTCCTTACAAACATATGGAGAATCCATCATGGGCTAGGTGATACCATTGCTTAGACTGATGCTAAGTTGCTTTACTAACTGAACTGTATTTTTAGTGGCTATAGTTTTGTAATGTTACTATTCACTTATCCCTAGGCTTTAGAAATTTGCACATTGATGATCAGATTATCCTGCTACAGTATTCCTGGATGAGCCTGATGGTGTTTGCTTTGGGATGGAGGTCCTATAAGCACGTCAGTGGGCAGATGCTTTACTTTGCACCAGATCTAGTTCTGAATGAGTGAGTATTTCTGTGATATTACATTTTACTTACAAATTGTCAAACCAAAATCTAAGTTTAAATTGGGCGTGACCACTGCTGACCGCATAACCCAGTCATTCTAGCAACAAGAATCCACCAATTCTTGACACAGGAATACAGCAGCCGCAGATCCTCAGCTTTGTGAAAGAGGTCCAATAGGATCCACTGCAAGGATTTTACTCTGTGCAGTAAGAGCTCGTTCACATGTGGAGCAGCCGTTGCTGATCGCTTTTCAAAGAGCGTTTGACAGATCACCTCTTCACCTCTACCAAAAACTGGTATCTGTACAATCCCAATTTTTAACAAAGGTTATATGAAGATAACACGATAAGACACGATTCATGTGTTCTATAATGTGCCATAAAGACAATCTGCCATGTGGCTAGTAGATACCTTTTTACACCACAGTCCCATTGTTCAGTGTGCTGTTCCTACATACGTGTTTTACATGTATTAACAATGTATTTGTAGTGGATTATTGTTTTTTTTTTATTATCACGTGTGTTCTAGTATGTTTATGTACAAAAACATTCAGCATGCTGTACTTCATTTTAAACTCACATTAAAGTAATATTAAACCAAAAGCAAACATGCTGGTAGATTAATTGGCTCCTGTCTAAATTGTCCCTAGTATGTGTATGTATGTATGTGAGTTAGGGACCTTAGATTGTACACCCCTTGAGGGATAGGGACTGATGTGAATGTACAATTTATATAATGTAAAGTGCTGCGTAAATTGACAGCGCTATATAAGTACCTGAAATAAACAACATAAATAAAATTGTTTGAGAACGCCCTGTGGGTGGGGCGAAACGCGTTGACGTATTTCTGGTTGGCCGTCCTGGCGTCCTGCGTCATTTCCGGTGAGTGGAACGCACGTCGAGCGGTGCGTTCCAGGGGCCATCTTGCTTAGTGGAGGAGGCTGTTTCTGAGGTCTGTCATCCTGCTGTGCACCTGGCTGTGAGGTCTTACTACAGGATCTGTGGAAAAGTCATTTTTATACACAAATAAATGCTGGTTATTACCTTTTAAAATGTGAGTGGTCTGGTTTAAAGTTAATTAGGATTGAAAGTTATAACGGTATCACACTATTAGTTTTTTTCTTCTTCCTGGAATCATGGTGGAGTCGGCAAGGGGAGTAATCGGAGGAGGTTTCTATATCTTAGAGGTGGCAATATTTGGAGGTTATAAAGGGGGTCCAGAAGCCCTAAATAATCCTGAAAGGCGTTATACTCACCAAATATCTGGTGAGTGCGGTTCATGTTGGTTTTGCACTGGTGGATGGTGTTAGGAATACTATTGGCACGGAAGAATTTCATGAAAATATAAGTTTTTTGGTCACTGGACTTTTTTTGTATGTGTCACTGGACGCTTTGTTCTTGTATGTGTCACTGATTTTTTTTGTTTTTTGTTTTTTTGTATGTGTCATTAGATCTTTTCTGTTTTTTGACACATATATAAAATTGTAATATTTGTACTAATATTATTTATAGGAAAACGTATTTCACATATACAGATTGTTTTTGTGTTTTGCGCTGTTTTTTTGAGTTGAATAAATAAAATTATATTGCAACTTACCAGTTCTTAGATGTGATGGCTGCACTTCTTTTTTACGCTTTCTTTCTTCTATTTTCATCTGGTGATCCAGCCTGTACGTTTGTACGTTTGTACGTTTTTCAAAAGAACAAGCTCTCCAGCAGAATGTATCTGTTACAGAGGTGGAACAAACCATTTACCACTGACAGGGGTGCTTACTATGATCAGCTTTTTGGATTTAATACCACTTTAAAGCACCGCAGTGGTGTAAACGATTCAATACATTTCTTTTGCATATGCATTCATACTGAATTTAAAAATGCGTTCAACTGCATCTGGTATAAATTAGCCCTTAGTTTAGTGCTTTAATTTCATACTTTTCTTTTTCAAAAAAACTCCATGTATCGCTCAGAAATATAACAGGATTGGGGGCACGAGTCTACTGAAACCTCATGAGCCTATTGGGTCTCATTTCATCATTACCATCATCTCAGAGTATAACAAAGTATTTCTGGATGTAACTCTTGTCAAATGTTTGTTTCCTCAGACAAAGAATGAAAGAGTCATCGTTTTATTCGCTCTGTATTGCAATGAGGCAGCTGCCGCAGGAGTTTGTGAAATTACAGATCAGCCAGGAGGAGTTCCTCTGCATGAAGGCTTTACTGCTTCTAAATACAAGTAAGCACATGTAGGTGGACGGGGCGCACAGACTGTTCACACTTACTGTTGCTCCAGGTAAACAGCTAAAAACACCAATCTGGATACATTTATGAAGCAAAGCAACTATGGGCAGCAGATTTTGCTTTACCCTTCATATTCTAGTTTTAAAGAATATCCCCTTTAAAGATGACATCACTAGTCATGGTCCTCATGGAAAGCTGGAGCAATCCTGGGGCAGCTATGGTCCCTTAAATAAAACAGGAAATGGTATTTTACTTATATTCAAAGCTCTTGGCCAGGGTTCTGAAACTTTCTAGTCAAAGGGCCAGTTTACTGTCCTTTCGATTTTCAGGGGTGACAGACTGTGACCAGTGGGAGTAGAAAATGTCCTGGGGTCATTTGGGGGAAAAAAGATTACATAGCACCTGTGGTCAGTAGGAAGGGAATAGTGTCCCCTCATTGGGTATTAGTTGGAGGAATAGTGCCCCACCATTGGTATCAGTAAGAGGGATAGTGTAGTGTACCATCATTGGTGTCAGTAGGAGGGATAGTGTCCCATCACTGGTGCCAGTGGAAAAGAATAGTGCCTCATAGTTGGTGTTATTGAGTGGAATAGTACCCCATCATTGATGTCAGTGAGGGGAATAGTGCTCCATCATTGATGTCAGTGGGAGGAATACTGGCCATTATTAGTGTCAGTGGGAGGAATAGTCCCCATCATTGGTGCCAGTAGGAGAGAAAAGTGCTTCATCACTGGTACCATCATTGGTGTCAACGGAAGGAAATAGTGCTCTATCATTGGAACCACTAGGAGGACTTAGTAACCCCTCATTGGTACTAGTAGGATGAATAGTGCCTCATCATTGGTACCAGTAAGAGGAAAGTGCCTCATCATTGCTACCAGTATGTGGAATAGTGTCCCATTATCAGTACCAGTAGGGAATAGTGCCCCTTCATTGGTACCAGTAGGAGGAATAGTTCCTCATCATTGGTACCAGTAGGAGGAATAGTGCCTCATCATTGGTACCAGTAGGAGGAATAGTGCCCCTTCATTGATACCAGTAGTAGGAATAGTTCCTCATCATTGGTACCAGTAGGAGGAATAGTGCCTCATCATTGGTACCAGTAGGAGGAATAGTGCCCCTTCTTTGATACCAGTAGGAGGAATAGTCTCCCATCTTTGGTACCAGTAGAAGGAATAGTGCATCATCATTGGTATCAGTAGGAGGAATAGTGCCCCTTCACTGATACAAGTAGGAGGAATAGTCTCCCATCTTTGGTACCAGTAGAAGGAATAGTGCCTCATCATTGGTACCAGTATAAGGAATAGTACATCATTTATTGATACCAGTAGGAGGAATAGTGCCTCATCATTGGTACTAGTAGGAGCTATAGTGCTGCATTATTGGTACTAGTAGGAGGAATAGTTCCTCATCATTGGTACCAGTAGGAGCTAGTGCTGCATTATTGGTACCAGTAGGAGGAATAGTCTCCCATCATTGGTACCAGTAGCAGGGAATAGTCCCCCATCTTTGGTACCAGTAGGAGGAATAGTGCCCCATCATATGTACTAGTAGGAGGAATAGTACATCATCATTGGTACCAGTAGGAGGAATAGTGCCTCATTATTGATACCAGTAGGATGAATAATGCCTCATCATTGGTACTAGTAGGAGGAAAGTGCCTCATCATTGGTACCAGTAGGAGTAAAAGTGCCTCATCATTGGTACCAGTAGGAAGAAAGTGTCTCATCATTGGTACCAGTAGGAGGAATAGTGCCTCATCTTTGGTACCAGTAGTAGGAATAGTGCCCCATCATATGTACTAGTAGGAGGAATAGTGCGTCATCATTGGTACCAGTAGGAGGAATAGTGCATCATCATTGGTACCAGTAGGAGGAATAGTGCCTCATTATTGATACCAGTAGGAGGAATAGTGCCCCACCATTGGTATCAGTAAGAGGGATATTGTACCATCATTGGTGTCAGTAGGAGGGATAGTGTCCCATCACTGGTGCCAGTGGAAAGAATAGTTCCTCATCGTTGGTGTTATTGAGTGGAATAGTGCCCCATCATTGATGTCAGTGAGGGGAATAGTGCTTCATCATTGATGTCAGTGGGGAGGAATACTGGCCCATCATTAGTGTCAGTGGGAGGAATAGTGCCTCATCATTGGTGCCAGTAGGAGGAAAAGTGCTTCATCACTGGTACCATCATTGGTGTCAATGGAAGGAATAGTGCTCCATCATTGGTACCAGTAAGAGGAAAGTGCCTCATCATTGCTACCAGTATGTGGAATAGTGTCCCATTATCAGTACCAGTAGGGGGAATAGTGCCCCTTCATTGATATCAGTAGGAGGAATAGTCTCCCATCTTTGGTACCAGTAGAAGGAATAGTGCCTCATCATTGGTATCAGTAGGAGGAATAGTACCCCTTCACTGATACCAGTAAGAGGAATAGTCTTCCATCTTTGGTACCAGTAGAAGGAATAGTGCCTCATCATTGTACCAGTATGAGGAATAGTACATCATTATTTATACCAGTAGGAGGAATAGTTCCTCATCATTGGTACCGGTAAGAGTTATAGTGCTGCATTATTGGTACCAGTAGGAGGAATAGTTCTTCATCATTGGTACCAGTAGGAGCTATAGTGCTGCATTATTGGTACCAGTAGGAGGAATAGACTCCCATCATTGGTACCAGTAGCAGGAATAGTCCCCCATCTTTGGTACCAGTAGGAGGAATAGTGTCCGATCATATGTACTAGTAGGAAGAATAGTGCATCATCATTGGTACCAGTAGGAGGAATAGTGCCTCATTTTTGATACCAGTAGGAGGAATAGTGCCTCATCATTGGTACCAGTAGGAAGAAAGTGTCTCATCATTGGTACCAGTAAGAGGAATAGTGCCTCATCTTTGGTACCAGTAGGATGAATAGTGCCCCATCATATATACTAGTAGGAGGAATAGTGCGTCATCATTGGTACCAGTAGGAGGAATAGTGCCTAATTTTTTATACCAGTAGGAGGAATAGTGCCTCATCATTGGTACCAGTAGGAGCTATAGTGCCTCTCCATTGATACTAGTAGGAGGAATAATGCCTCATCATTGGTACTAGTAGGAGGAAAGTGCCTCATCATTGGTACCAGTAGGATGAATAAAAGTGCCTCATCATTGGTACCAGTAGGAGGAATAGTGCCTCATCTTTGGTACCAGTAGGAGGAATAGTGCCTCATCATTGGTACCAGTAGGAGGAGGAATAGTGCCTCATCATTGGTACCAGTAGGAGGAATAGTGTCTCAGCATTGGTATCAGTAGGAGGAATAGTGCTTTGTATGAGTGCTGGTGGTATCATTTGAAGGAATAGTGGCATGTATAAGTGGGGGAAATAGTGCCCAAAGGGCCAGATAAAGATAAGCAAAGGGCCATATTCGGTCCAAGGGCCGCAGTTTGGAGACCACTGCTCTAGACAAACGGTTAACTACACAATTATAATACTTATATGTAAAGTGACTTACTTGCCAAAAGATTTGTAATTCCTTTGAACCAGTCTTATGGTCCAGGCAATTCCAGATCAGTGGCCATGCCTTTCTTTACTGCAGTTAGCAGTGGAGCTTGGTCATGTACCCACCCCACTTACTGAATTAAAGAGAGAAGCATAACCTCATTGATAACACAGGTCTGCAAAAAAAAAAATTTTTTCAAGAGCTGTTTTGGTTATTCCACATAATCTTTATGTTTTTTAATGCGCTGAATCCGAAAATGACCTCCATTTTGTCATAGGACATCACGATTCCTGACAATTTAGGTAACTATGTTAAATAAGGCAATACCTCAAAAAAAAAGGAAATAGACATAAAATTTAAGTTTTATTACAATTTTTTCATGAAAACCCCTCTTTGAACTGAAATGAGCTCACCTACACACTAAACTCGATTCTTCTTCCCTGTGAGGCTCCTCTTGGTGCATTTACGCTTGTGAGTAGCATCTGGAATGTCTCTCTGAAGCATCCAACAGTAGTCTGCCATCATTGTAATGTTCCATTTTCCCTGGTGTCTCCTTTCCATCTCTTTAATGTCTTGGTGGAATCATGCACCTTGTTCCTCACTCACAGCTCCCAAATTTTCAAGAAAGTAGTCAAGGTGGGACTAGAGGAAATGCACTTTCAAACTCATCAGGCAACCTAAAGCTTGAAATGCTTTCAGCATTTGTCCTACGATCTTTTTGTAGTGAGGATCTTTGTTATTGCCTAAAAATTTCTGTATGACTTTTTTAAATGCAGTCCACCCTTCTTTTTGAGGATCCGTCATGGTATTGACAAACTCTTGATCAACTATAAGCCTTCTAATGTCTGGTCCGACGAAACACACCTTCCTTCAGTTTTCCCTCCGACAGGCCTGGAAACTTGGTGACCAAGTATTTGAAGCATTCTCCATCTCTTGGAAGTGATTTTACGAATTGCTTCATCAATCCCAATTTTATGTGGAGTGGTGGTAGAAGAACTTTATGGGAAGGTACCAAAGTTTCTCGGAGGACATTTTTTTCACCGACTGTTAGCACCCTCGGCTGCCAACTCTTCTTGGTCCAGTGATTTTGTCGGTCTTGACTGTCCCATAGACACAGAAAACAAGGGTATTTGGTATACCTAGCTTGTTGCAGCATGCACAAGACCTTCAAATCCCCACACACTTGCCAACCATGGTCTTCATATTTAAGTTTACGAAGAACCAATTCCAAGTTCTCGTAGGTTTCCTTCAAGTGTACGGAATGACCTACAGGTACGGAAGTGTAAAAACCACTAAGATTAACCCCTTCTACCATTAGAAGCACAGACTCAGGGCTTAGGCTTACACATACAGCATGCTGCTGAGTATCCCAGTAGTCAGACATGTCACTCAGAGCAGCACTTGTATTCACCCCCTTTGTAGGGGGGGAGGGGCAGAGATTGTTTACCTGCAAATAACAACAAAGGGCCAGAAGAGAACTAGGAAAATGAGGAAATATAATTGTTTTTTTTC